ATCCGAGCCCACTAAAATAGTGGCACTATATTCCATGCTTTCCAATATCGTGTTCTCTTTTTCTCTATGCTGTATAGAAAAAGAATGGTGCACACGCTATGTACCCGCCGTAGAAAAAGCCGTTGCACTTAAATGCACGTCCTCCCCAACTACACGTTGCACTTAAATTCGCGTCCTCTCCTTCTTCCGCCTATGCACGGCGGACTAGCCGTTTCCAACCACTATGTGATCTTTTCTTCTTAGACTGGTCGTAATGATAGTATCATAACTAGTATCATGCATGCCAAATAGGCAATTTTGATGATGTGTCATAGCATTAAATGAAAAAAAAGATGGTTAAATATCATATCGTGATACTATATCATAATAAATATTATGCTATTTATGTTATGCATGGCAATAAATAAAGTATTACATGATATAGTATATGATATTATGCATTAGGGAGGTACTCCCTCCGTTTCTAAATACTTGTCTTTCTAGTCATTTTAACAAGTGACTACATACAGAGCAAAATGAGTGAATTTACACTCTAAAATATGTCTACATACATCCGTATGTAATAGTCATTTGAAATGTCTAGAAAGACAAATATTTAGGAATGGAGGGAGCAGTATCATATGCATGATACTACTATATGATACTCCCCATTACGACCAGCCTTAAAAAGCACAATCGTTGTCATATGAGGTGGTTGTTTCGTTCTTGTGAACATGTCACCCTAACATTTATGTTAATCCCATGGTTTGTCCCCTTCACTAATTGTAACAAAATATTTCCTCCCTCCACTAGACGCGCCATTGTATGCCTAACCTCCATGTATACTGGCCGTTGGTGCTCACGGCTAATTCCAGTGAAATATTGTCGTGTTTTTTTCAATCCATACACGCAATTTCTACCATGGTAACAAACAACCACCCACGTACCACTTGCACCTATATTCAGTGTTCTGTAAATTGGCCATGAAGACGACGTGCTGAAGTCTCCCACCCAGTCAACGTAGTTCACTGTTCTATGCTGCCGGGACATGCTTTATTAAATGCCGAAGCACATGTACGCGTTGGTCCGTTATTACGGTCTAAGGCCAACTCCACCGCACGAGCCCAAACGGACGTCCGCTTTGTCTGGATTTCATTCATTTGGGGTGAAATTTAGAATCGTGTATGGGCATGTCCTGAGATGCGGTGGTCGTACGCCCAGCGCGCAGCCGCATCCATTTGTCCTATTCTGTCCGTGTTTATTTAAAATACCAAAAAAACGTTTCAAATGTCAAGCCCTAGTTCAGGCCAGCGGCCTACACGTCAATCACCGGCATCAGCCAGCGGCCGGCAACACAGCCAGCCTTCAAAATGAATAGCTGTCCTCGCCGGCAACGCAGCCAGCGGCCGGCAACACAGTCAGCCACCAAAATGAATGTTTTCTCGCCGGCACACAACCAGTGGCCCAGCGGGCGGGCGGCACCCATTGCCGACCTCCAAAAAGAACGGCCACGGCCGATCGGACGACCTAGTTCAGGCCTTCGGCTTCGAGCATCTCCTTCTGCTTAGCCTCGAACCAGGCCCTCGTCTTGTCGCTCATCTTCAACAAGTCCACGCTCATGATCGCAAGGGCCACCTCCTTCGCTTTGGTGGCGACGTTCGTGGCCTCGATGTCGAGCTGCCTCTGCCTGGCCTTGACGTTGTCGGCCTCGATGTCGAGCTGCCTTTGCCGGCCCGCCTCCTTCATGTCGATCTTCCTTCTCTTGGCCGCCTCCTTCATCTCAAGCTTCTTTGTTTGAAGGTCTAGGTATTGCTTCATTTGCTCCTCCTTGCTTTGCCGCTTCTTCTCGTCTCTCACATCCTTTTGGGACATCATGCCATGCAAAGTGTCATGCAATGCCATGGATGAGGCATCACGTATGTCATCAACCTTGGAGTTGGTCTTGCCCCTCGGCCTCTTCAAGGCCTCGCCATCTCCACCTCCGGCATACTTGGCCGTCTTTAGTCCTCTCTTCCTTTGTAGTTCACGGTATTGGTCCTTGAACTTAGGGCAATTGTTGATGATCGTCCAACAATGCGTAAGAGTGAATGGCTTGTTATTGTGCCGGGTCTTGAATGCCTCCAAAGATTGAAATGCCTAAATCACATGATCAACAACAAGTGAACATGCAAACATATACACGGCCGAAGTGTCATGGCCGTAGCAAGGAAAGGGCTAGGAAGAGGAGAGCATACCATGTCCCCAACGCTGAGACCACTCACGGGTCGTGCTTCAATGCTTTCAAATGCGGCCCAATACTTGTTGCACTCTTGTTGGATGAACAACCATCTCTTTTGAATCGAGTCGATGCCACGGTTGCTTGTAAATTGGTAGGGCTCAAACATCTTCCTTTCATGCAATGTTTTGTGGACTCTTGTCCAAAAAAACAATGCTCTTTTGTTGCGCGCCGGTCCTCGGATCTTGGATAATCTCCATCCAAGCTTCGCAAATCAACTTGTCCTCATCTTGTGTATATGAACCCGTGCGAATGCTCTTCCTCTTATTTTGTGCTTCCGCTCTTTGGGTGAGCTCGTCGATGAACAATGGCTCGCCACTAATATCAACGTCATTCCCTTCTTCTTCATCACCGTCACCTTCGACATAGATGTCATCGTCTTCATGCCACGAGTCACCATGGTCGTAGTCAGCATGGTCGTCGGCCTCTTCATCGGGCACGTACTAGGCGCGGCCATCATGACTTTGGGTCTCCTCGGGGTCGTAGGCACGGCCATGCCCACCCTCGAAGATCATGTCCTTAATGTACTGGTTGTAGAAGGGGTCGTCGACCGTTGGCGTTGGTGTTGGCATTCCGTCAAACAAGACGCGGGGGGCCGGCATGGTGCCCGTGAACGGTGCCCGTGCTTGCTTTCTTTGCATCTCGACGGATGCCCGACTGCCACTGTTGGACCCAGGCGTGACGTTGAGGTCGATGATGGCCGCGTGACGCGGTGTGGACGGCGCGAACAAGCCCACGTCCGGCGACCCCGAGAAACGGGTCTGGCCGTCGTGCCTTGACGGAGTAAAGCCGGGTGACATGGGCGCGGTCCGCGACGTCGGTGACTGGCAGTGCGGAGGCCGGGCGACCGACGAGCCTGTGCTCGCGGGGCCGGCGGCCGCTGTAGGAAACCCGGCCGGACGGCCCATGCCAAGCATGAGGATGGCGTGCGCTTTGTTGAGGAGGTCCTCCTTCTCGTCGGTAGAGGCCTTGCGCCGCACGGCCTCCAGCTCCTCGCGCTGGGCGGCAAACTTGGCCGCGGGGGCATTGACCTTGACGACCGCTCTCCGTTTCCTCCTCTTCGCCGATTCCGCGTCCAACTTGGCGATCTCCTCCGGCGTGCACTCCGACCGCGGCTTCCTTGGTGCCTTCTTATTCACCTTTGCGGGCGGGTCGACGGCCAGGCCGCCGGAACTCGGCGGGGCGTCCGCCATGGACGAGGGAGAAAGGGGGCGGCGGGAAGGACGTGAGAGGGTTTGGGGGAAATGACGCCAAATGGGCGTGGAGGGTTTTGATTTCTCACACCGACAGGCGGGCTAGGGGAGAACAAGCGCGCGTCCCGCCCGTCCGCGCGCTGTCCGTTTCATCCCAAAACCGGCGCAGGGATGGGTCGAAAGTGGACACAAAGCGGACAAAAATCCGTTTGCGCCCGCGCACTGGACCGTCTCGTTTGTTCCTTTTACCCCAAACAGACGGGAACGGACAGGATAGGGTCGCACAGTGGAGTTAGCCTAAAGTTAGAATATGAAGCGTGCTAGTATAAACTGGTTTGGAGGCTACAGCTAGCAATATGGTGAACCTGCGAGAGTTTTTAATCCGTATATCGTCTGGAAGTAGTAATTTGCAACGTACTACATGCAAAAAATGGGGAAATCGTAAATCCCAAACCTATCTGAAAGTTGCTACACAACAAAGCCGAAAGTTCCACGCCGTCCTCTGCGTGCCAGCGCATCGACAGACTGGTCCTGTCACCCGCAGAGGCCCCCCAGCGCACGCCGACTGACACGAACGACCCCACCTGCCATCGACATGCTCCACCGGATATTTTCGACACGATTCCCCGCTGCCACTGCCACCAGAGAGACTGACTTGTGGAGGCCTCTGGCGAGGGGCCACGGACGGGCCGGCGGCCACGCAGAAAAGCAAAGGACAGGCACGCAGGTGGCAGCCAGCTTTCTTCCGGACAAAACAAAACAAAGGAAAGCGGTGGCAGGCGGGCGGGCGGGCGAAACATGGCGCGTCGACCTCCGTGACCGGGCTCACGTGCTGTGTTGCACCGATCGATGCCCCGACCACAACCTACCACCCACAGTTCTCTATGCCACGAGATCCGATCTCACGGCTCCACCTGCCATTGGGACACCCGAGTGCCCCCACGCGCTACAGCTCGGAGTTCGTGAACCTTTGGAGCTTCCTCTGGCCGCGTACGTGGAGGCCGGTGAGAAAGATAAGGTAGAGTAGCCGCAGTGAACGGGGAACGCGGGAATGTTTGTCCGTTTCTTACCGCCAAACACACGGACGGGAACCGAAACAGAGTGATTGATTCAGCCAAGAAGGCTGATTGATTTCCTGCACAATTTCAGTGTGCAACACGAGACTCCATCTGAGTTTTAGGACAAAATATAGCTGACGATACATAGAAGAAAAGGAAGATCTATCCAATCCACGGATCAAAGCAGAAACAAATCTGAATCCAGCCTGCATGCAGCCCAACTCCACCCAAAAATCGAAACGAAAACGAAAGCCTGTCCTCCCTCGGCCGCTCCTATTCTCTCCTCCAACAAACGAAAACGAAAACGAAAGCCCAACTCCACCAACAAACAGTAAGCATCATCGGCCGCTCCTATTCTCTCCTCTCTCGGCTACAACACCAAATCAATTGTACTAGTAGTGCTCCATTAGCTAATAATAAGCCTGTCCTCCCTCCCGGTTTTTCTTACCTCTGATGAGAAATTGATTGAAATTACTTCTTGTTTGATCGCTCGCTCTATTCGGCGGCGTCGGCGACGGGCTTGCGGAGGACCACCATGTGCATCGGCGAGAAGATGCCGGTCTCGCCGCCGAGGGTGAGGTGCTGCGCGGTCTCGTACAGCATCTCGTGCACCTCCACCACGCCCTTGGGCGCGATCCGGAGCAGGGTGAGCACGCGCACCACCAGCGAGTTGCGCCAGTAGGCGAGGCGCCCCATCTTGAGCCGCGTCCACCATGGCAGCGAGGGTGGGAGGGCCAGGTCCAGCTCCTGCACCACCTCGAACCCGACCTCCTGCGCGATCGACGCGATCTCGTCCTGCCGGCGCAGCCCCGGGAGCGCGTCGCCGCGCTCGATGCCGTGGATGGCCTCCACGTGCGCCGGGTCGTCGGCGCGGTACAGCGGCGTGGTCACCCACTCGTAGGACACGTAGAGCCGCCCCGGCATGAGCACGCGGTACACCTCGCCGTACACGTCCTGCAGCCTTGGCGCGTGGCAGGTGGCCTCGATGGAGTAGGCGCCGTCGAAGGAGGCGTCGTCGAAGGGCATGGCCATGAAGTTGCCGCACACCACCTCGCACTGCGCGTCCAGCCCGGCCTTGCGGTTGTGCGCGCGGGCGCGGTTCACCTGGTACTCGTTGATGGTGATGCCGACGACGCGGGCGCCGGAGTGCGCCGCGATGGCGCGCATGGGCCCGCCGACGCCGCAGCCGACGTCGAGCACGCGGTGGCCCGGCTTGGCCCCCAGCAGGTCGGCGACGCGCTCCTCGTGGACGCGGGTGGCGTCGCGGTGGGAGCGGCCGGGGAGCGAGGGCGAGAAGTGGAAGGACTGGCCCCAGCCCCACTCGTAGATGTCGGTGACGAGGTTGTAGAAGGTGTCGACGAAGGCGGGCACCTTGTCGGCGGAGGCCTGCGTGGTGGCCGTCTCCTTGGGGCGGCGGAAGAAGGACCAGTACTGCGTGTACTTGTCCTGCACCTTGTCCCGCGTGATGGATCCCATCTTGAGATCCACCGCCCGCTTCCCCTTCACCTCCGCCGCGCCCATCACCCACACAAACCAGTAGACCAGGCCGGCGCCCACCAGCCCCGCCGTCCACGCCATCGTCGCCGGCTCCATGGTTCGTTCGCTCCCCGCGAGCGCGAGCTCAGCTCAGCTCGAGGAGGGAGGAGAGGACAGAGGGGGGAGACGGAAAATGGGCAGGGGATCCGGCCGGCCGCGGAATATAAGGAGCGGAGGCCGGCAGGAGCGTGGTGGTGCGTGGTGGTGGAGTGGGATCTGATCCGACGGCGCTCGGGGCTTTGCTGTGGGGTTTAGGCTGATTTTTCTGGCGAGATGGTGGAGGCGGGGTGGTGGTGGTGGGGTCCACCGCTGGCTCCTCCTGCCAGATGGTTTTTGGCACGATGTAGGGAGGAGCGCTGGCGGTCTGACACCGTGCGTGGGTGAGATTGGGATGAAGGAAGGGACGCCAGCCAGCCGGGGACGCAGCTCCTCTGACGTACGGGGCACTCGCTGACGTGTGGACCTGAACCCACGCGTCAGTGGCCCAACGTCAGGTGGCCGTACGTCAGGGGATCCGGCTCCGCCAGCCGGAGCCAGTGAGAATCTGCCGTACCGCCATGTGTGTGGTGACGTGTACGGCCATTTCTTTTTCCTGCCACTGCGCTGCCAGTATTCGTATCTGGTGCCGCCATTTTTTAGTTACTTTCGATGCTCTTCGTTTGTAAATGTTTGTCTAGATTTTAACAAATGACTACATATCAAGCAAAATGAATGAATATATACTTTAAAATACATTTTTTGTTCGGAAATACTTGTCGGAGAAATATATGTATCTAGACATATTTTAGTTCTAGCTACATTCTTTTTTATTTATTTTTCTGACAAGTATTTTCGAACAGAGAAAGTATGTTTGTATACATCCGTATATGATAGTCCATTTAAATTTTTTAAAAATATAAATATTTAGGAACGGGGGAGAAAAAGAGAGCCAGCCAGCATTCAAAAACCGAAGAAAAAACAGGCAGCCAGCACTCAGATTTGATTTGGTTCGGTGGATCGGCATTTTTCGCTGGGGAAGAGAGGAGGAGATGATGTGATCGGTCGGACTCCAGCCTGATGCGACGTCGATTGATCGTGTGGCATTGGTTTTAACGGCGTGCCCGCTGGCTCGATCGATATAGAAACCATGTTACCTCACGATGCTCGCACGATACGGTCATTCATGTTAGCACACGTGCGAGCTATAGTTTTTTTTTCTTCATGAGCTGTTCGCCACATTTTCCGGGAAAATGTCACTAGCCTTGCGAGGTGTTTGTACAGACTCGGTTGGTGTTTTATTCATAAAGTGGATTGAAAGTTTATTTTGAGCTTTTTGAGCGCATCTTTGGACCTTCTTTGATTCACGGGACTTCCAAGATACAAGCATGGTTAGTCCATCTCCAACGCCACGCAAGCGTCCGGACCGAGCTGTCCGGACGTCGCAAGCCATTCAAAAGTGTCTCGTATTTGTCCGTAGACCGGTCCGGGTGTTCGTTTTTGGCAAACCGAAAGTAAACCAGAGGGGCTTTGTGGCAGTCCGGACACTAGCCACGTTGGACTCCGACATCCTGGCCCACCCGAACTGAGGCGAAGCCCGCACATTTAGAGCTGACCGCAGTGCTTCTGCGAGACCCCCCCCCTCTCAACTATCTCCTCTATCATCCCGTCGCTCATCCCCCTCCCTTCTCAACTTTCTTTGTAGCCTTCATGTGCGTGCAACTTGTTCTTGAAAGGGAGAAGAGGAACTTCATCATCATGCGTTGTTGGTTGAAGTTGAGTGGGTAACCCAATTGGAATTTATTCATTGCCAACAACGTCAAGACCGCCATCATCAACATCAATGAAGAAGCAGGTGATCCAATCGACCCCAAGAAGGTTAAAAGAGGGTTCCGGTGAAACAAGTGGGAGGAGGAGAAGGAAAAGAGAGAAGGGGAGGCAGCCAAGATGTCAGGGAGGTTCGATGACCTCTTGGCGAAGGAGGAGGACGCATGTGTCAAGCACTCCGACGTCAAGGAGGAAAAATTGCCGAGCGGTTTAACATAGTGGGAGTGTTGTTCTTTCCATGAACTTACACTCTTCTTATTATGGAATATGGATAAATGAAAAAATAATTCACTATCGTCATTTGGGTGACAAATGTGCTTCAATTAAAAGATTTGATCATTGGGCTCAAGATACATCTTCGTTGCCCAAGTGAAATGCTCAAACATGGTGGCTTCGGCCACCGCCCTTCCCTTTGGAAAGTTGGAGTTATTGGATTTTCATTTTGACATATTAAACCTTAAGGTTACCTATATGCTAAATATGTGGGAGAACACTCCAAAGTTGGTTTTTGTCTTTGCATCTTCCACCATTTGAATGTATACTACCCTATTTCAGTGACTTTGTCTCCATACCATGCCATTACTCATCTAAAAACCCTCTAAATACCTTTACGCACAAGTCCCAAATTCCAAAATTGCATATAGTAGCGATTTCCGTGGCAAGCGGTACAACCGCTCAGGTGGGTGGTTCAACCGACCACCTGGTGGGCTATAACGTTGGGCGCTACAACCGTTGTAGTGTGTGTGGTACTACCGCTCCTACCCCAGGCGAGCAGAAGTACCGCCCTCACTACCGCTGGTTGTACCAAGAGTGGGACAATCGCTCTGGTCTCAGGGCTATATAAGTGGGCACGGGATGAGGAGTTATATTTTTGCCTCATTCGTCCCACACCAGTGTATAACCCTAGCCTCTGTGTCGCTGCCGCAGCTGCTTCGCGAGCCGTTCGGCGCCCCAATTCTTCTAGTCGTTCACCGGATCGGCTATGTGGATCTGTCCTCCTCCCAGATCTTCTCCAATGGATGCCAGTAATGCCCCCGATTTGTTTTCTTTTGGTTTTAGTGTTTGAATCCATTGTTCGTGAGGGCATTGCTATGTATTTTTGGTTTTTGGCTAACTATTGGTGGTGAAGATCATCTTACATGCCAGGCTCATGTGTATAGTAGTTGCAAAGTAATTTTGTGAAGATTAGATTAAAGTTTGTGCTTGTGCCTACCCTCGGCCCATGTGGAGCCGATGTCAGCCAGCTGTACGCCTGTCGTGGTTCTAAGTCTGACAGTAATGTAGGGGGGTAAGTATGGAGAGGCGAGATCTTAGCTATGGAGAAGTTGTAAGGACGCAAGGTTTACAAGTTCAGGCCCTTCTCGGAAGAAGTAAAAACCCTACGTCTCGGAGCCCGGAGGCGGTCGATGGATTATGTGAGTATGAGTTACAGAGGCGCGAACCCTTGTCTCAGAGGAGGGGGTGGCTTATATAGAGTGCGCCAGGACCCCGGCCAGCCCACATTACGAAGGGTTCAATGTACATTAAGGCAGGGTGTTACTGGTAACGCTAGTAATAAAGTGCTATGATGACCATAAAAGCTATTTAATGACCGACCGTCAGCGTGCGGGGTGACTTTAGGTCTCTTGGTCGTCGAGTGGTTGGATCTTGGTCGAGTGATCGCTTCTTGGTCGAGTGGCTTCGAGTCTATCGAGTGGAACACCTTCAAGTCGATTGAAAGTTGATTTCTTCTAGAGATGTCTTTGGGTAGGGCGGTTAGGACAGGTCCATGACCCTACCCTAGGTACATAGCTTCATCATTAGCTCCCGAATAGATCGAGGTTTAAGTGGGGAAGGAGTTGAGGACCTCTCCGACTCGTTTTTCATGCCATGAGCATATCTTGCTCTAGATCAACGGACCCGAGTGATGGCAGCAACCTCCTTTTCAGTCGCCTTGATCCATTCTTAATTCTTCGTCGAGTGAGTTTCTTTACTTGTAAGGCTCCGAGCGACGGTGCGGAGGAGATCTTTGGTCTGGCAAGTTATTTGCTGCCCGCGGATTTGGTGGGATCCAAATTTTGGGAAGCGCGCGGGACGGGGGAGGCCGCAGTAATCGGACGAGATAGAGCGGAGCCGCCTCGATCCCCGCGCCACCTTTTTCACCATGTATCGCTCGTGCGGTCATTACGGGATTTGACAGAGCCATCTGGGCCTACCTGTCAGCCACTCGGAAGCGGCCTCATATAAGGCGTTGGACCGGGGTCTCCCGAACAGTGCGCCCCATTATCTCTTCTCCTCCTCACGCCTCTCCTCTACACTCGCTCTCGCTCTAGCGCCACCGCGCCACACGCTTCTCGTCGGCGACAATGGTGAAGGAGAAGACAGCGACTCTGGAGCGGGCAAAGAAGGCGACGACGAGGTCAAAGGGGAAGGCGACGAGCCGGGGCGGATCTTTCTCGCGGACTGGCCTGCCGAGGGGTTGGATCCAGGGCGACTAGATCCACTCGAGGATCTCCCAAGAAGACCTCGACGACCTGGCCGAGGGAGGGCTGATCCCCTACGGCTCGGCGCGGCTTCCGGGGAAGGAATCCTAGCCGCAACCCAGGGAGGGTGAGCGCGTTCTTCTTGCCACCCACGTCGACCGTGGGTTTTCCTTGCCCCCTCATCCTTTCTTCCGAGGGTTTCTGAACTTCTTTGGGGCTCAACTTCACCATTTTACCCCCAACTCAATCGTTTATCTTGCCGCGTTCATTTCCTTGTGTGAGAACTTCTTGGGTTGTCGACCTCACTGGGGTCTTTTCAAGCATATTTTCACTTTTCGCTCCTAGACAGTGAAAAAGGCTAATCCGAGTGACGAGAGGACCCAAGTGATCCAGATATGTGGGGGTCTTGGCATCCAGACGAGGGGAAAAAGCTCCTTTCCGGCCATGATTCTTCCTGATTAAGTTCGCGGATGGCAGTCGACCTGGTTCTACTGCAAAGACCAGTCGACGCCAGGGCAATCGACTGGCCTCCCTCCCTTTACCATGGACCAAGTGGAAAAACCCTCCCCTTTGAAGGTGCTCCCGGAGGAGAAGGCGCACGTGAAGGTGCTGGTCAACCGAGTGGTCCAGCTTATTCGTGACGGGGTCACTGGTATGGATCTCTTGGAGGTCTTCCTTGAGCGGCGCATCCAGCCTCTCCAAGCCCGAGACCACCCGATGTGGATGTATTCGGGTCTAGAAGACTCCACTCGGATCCACCCGGAGGAGGTCGATGACGACACGCTGGAGAAG